TTAGACTCACAGTGGTTCTCAACCTGTGGGTCGCGACCATCGGAAAACACATATAGCATATCAGATATTTACATTACAATTCATAACAGTAGCAAAATTACAGTTATGAAGTAGCAACAAAAATAATTTTATGGTTGGGGGGTCACCACAACATGAGGAACTGTATTAAAGGGTCGCGGCATTAGGAAGGTTGAGAACCTCTTACTAAACCTTAGAGCCACCACTGCCAGCTACAACAGAACAAGTATATCCATAATCACCCCCCCTCAGTCACTGACAAAGGCAGTGCCATTTCCCAGCTCTCCAGATTTGCAACCCTAGAATTATTTTATACTCTTTTCTCCTCCATTAACAAATCTTTCCCTGGGTATTTTAATTTTCTTTTAAACTGTAGCAGTGTGTAGTGGGAATGCAGACTGGTGCAGCCACTATGGAAGACAGTATGGAGTTTCCTCAAAAAACTAAAAATGGAACTCCCATTTGACCCCGTGATCCCACTTCTAGGAATATATCCCAAGAAACCAGAAACACCAATCAGAAAGGATATATGCACCCATATGTTCTTAGCAGCACAATTCACCATAGCTAAGATCTGGAAACAGCCTAAGTGCCCATCAGTAAATGAATGGATTAGAAAACAATGGTACATCTACATGATGGAATACTATGCTGCTGTAAAACAAGAAGGAATTCTTACCATTTGCAACAGCATGGATGGAACTGGAGAGCATTTTGCTAAGTGAAATAAGCCAGTCAATGAAGGAAAAATACCACAGGATCTCACTCATTTATGGATAATAAAGACCATTATAAATTTATGAACAAAAATAGATACAGAGGCAGAGCAGCCTCGAACAGACTGTCAAACTACAGCGGGAAGGACGGGGAGGGTTGGGGGGCAGGAGGGGAGGGTAAGAGATCAACCTAAGGACTTGTATGCATGCATATAAGCATAACCAATGGACATAAGACACTGGGGGGTAAGGGAGTCCAGGGGATTGTCACGGGAGGGAAAAAAAGGGGATATATGTAATACTCTTTGTAATACTTTAAGCAATAAAACAATAAAAAAGTAAAAAATAAACTGTAGCAGTGTGATTTACCCCTTCTTTTCCATTATTTTATAGATTCTCATGACCTATCACATATTGTTAAAACAACCTCTTGGTTGGCCTCCCGATTCCAGTAGCTTCTTAACTAGTCAGTGCTCAGTGCCAGGATACACTTCCACCAATACCTTTTTTAACCATAAGAACCTTTGCATAAAAATTAGTGACAGGACCAAATGTTAGGGGCAATCAGGTCGGCATGCAGCCTCTTTTTTGAAGTTCATGCAGCAATGATTGACCACCGATATTTATCTTAACAACCTCTCCTTCTCCCTTCCTTCCTCCTCTCCTTCTTCTTTCATCCTCTTTCTCCCCTTTTCTCTTTCCACCAGCCCCATTTCTCTGGTTTCACATTACAAGTTTTTATTCAAGCCACACTTTGCTTGCCATCACCAGTGTCTGACTTGCTATTTCAAAGCTCTGGTCCTTTACAAATGCCATTTCTTTAGGTTAAGATAACCTCAGCCCACATCATTGACTTAAAAATTCTTTAGGGAAGCTTTTTTTAAAATTTTATTTTATTGTTTAAAGTATTACACATAGTAATACATATATCTCCTTTGCTTTCTTTGATTGCATCTGACTGCTCACTTCACCCATTCAATATTTCCTAAGCACATACATTCCATTTGTATATACAGTTGTTACTCTGTGTGTATGTTTTAGGTTATTTCCTCTATTGATTTCCTGTCACTTCCAAACAGATTTCAAATATATTGAGGGCAAAGGCCCAGCCTTATTTCTCTCCTCCTTCTGCCTTATTATGAGGCTCTCCACCCAGGAAGCTTTCAATGCATATGAACTGACTTTTGGGCATTATTTTCTAGACATAAACAAAAGTGAAATCATCATCACTGTTACAGGGTCAGTCGAGGTTTCCACATAGTTTGCATGTAGACTTTGTCTACCATCTTTACTCAGATATGGAATAACAAGAATGAGGTGAGTATACTATTGGTGAAGCACTTAATTCTGTATTTTTAACTGCAGTTCAATTCAGTACATAAATAGTACGTGATGGGTACCCAGGAAAATGTTAAGTGTCCAGCCCAGTTATTCTCAAATTCTTGAATGCATCATAATCCTCAGATGGGCTTGTCAAAACCCAGATCACTGACCCCCCCGTACTGCAGAGTTTCTAACTTTGTAGTTCTGGGCTGGGTTCCACAATTTTGCATCTCTAACAAATACCCAGGTAATGCTGGTGCTGCTGGTTCAGATACCACGCTTGGAGAACTAGTGATCTAGGCAGTAGAGTGGGGTCTAAGACATGGTCTCTGGTTTCAAGGGATTTACAGTCTTTTCAGGGTGGTAAGTCAGGTGCAGGAAACATTTTACAGCAGAAAATATTTTAAAACTAGAGGCCCAGTGCACGAAATTTGTGCATGGGGTGGAGGGTCCCCTCAGCCCAGCCTGCACCCTCTCCAATCCTGGACCCCATGGGGATCAGGCCTAAACTGGCAGTTGGACATCCCTCTTACAATCCTGGACCACTGGTTTCTAATTGCTCACCTGCCTGCCTGCCTGGTCGCCCCTAACTGCCTTCCCCCCCACTGGCCTGGTCACCCTCAATTGCCCCCCTCTGCTGGCCTGGTCACCCCTAATTGCCCCCCCTGCTGGCCTGGTTGTCCCTCATGGCCCCCCTGCTGGCCTGGTTGCCCCACTCAGCCTGCTGTTCAGTCATTTGGTAGTCCCTCACTAACCCCACTGCTAGCCTAGTCATAAGCAGCCACCTTGTGAGGGCATGAGGGTTAATTTGCATATTACCTCTTTATTATATAGGATATTTTAGTATTATTCATTCATTAAATATTGAATGAGTACTAACTATGTGCCCAGCACTGTTCTAGGTACTGGGGTTACATCAGTGAACATAATAAATCAAAATCCTTGTTCTCATTTGAAGCCTAAGCTCATAGGATAATCCTAATGGGAGAAAGCAGACAATAAATAAAATACATAAAATGTAAGATAATTTAAGTGCTAAGAACAAAAAGCTAGGGAATAAGAAATATCAGAAGGGTTTGAAATTTTAGGTGTACAGAGAAGGCCTTCCAATTCCATTATTTGACAGGTATTTATTGAGTGAACACTATGTGTCAGGCATTGCTATAGATGGTGTTGATATAGCCATAAATAACACAATTAATAAGCCATGCCCATATGTAAGGAACAGACTTATTTGAGAGCTGGAAAATTTTGGGTTTTAGTGTTAACTATCACGAACTCATTATGTGACTGTGAATGGCTGATGCTCCTCCTCTCTGAGCATTGGTTTCTTCATCTGTTAAATGGAGCAGTTGGACAAAGTTATGTTTGAACTCCTAATCATCTCTCAGGCTATAAGATACTAAGTGCTTTAGGCAATTGGAAATATGTAAGAGTGCTTGAAGACTTTGTAGAGGAAGAAAAACTTAATGGTTTCCATAGGCATAGGGGAGCAATAGGGTTTGTGAGGTGGGAAGAAAATTTCAGAAGAAGAATAACATGAGCAAAAGCATAGAAGTAAGAATGGGAGCTACATGTTTAACAAAAAGCAAGGAGGTCGAAGGGTAGCTGAGATAGTTGGGTGGGAGGTGAGTGCCCAATAAAGATGAGGTCCTGGCTAATTATAGAGCATCTTGAATGGGAACCCACTGAGAGTTTTGATCTGGAAATGTTACAATTATATAGTCAAAGTGGGTGTTTCAAGAAGATTAGAATAGCCACCAGTTAAATGTTCAAAATTCATAATTGTTTTTCCATAAGATGATCTCTGAATCATGAAGAGTTAAAGTCATAATTTGTTATGTCACTGACTGATTATACTATTGCTATCAAATTAATTTTAAGGTCTTTTTCAAGCCCTAAAAGCCAATAATATTATATAATTTTCCCTCAAGAGTGCTACCATATGCTTAAACCAGACACATATTACTATTTAGGCTTCGGACTTGAAAGTTTAAGAGATGAATTGAAATAGAAAATTCTTAATGTTTATATTCTTTTGCATTTTTTGTTATCCCATGAAATATATGGTTGATTTGTTATTGGGTTTGTCCTCAAACAGATATATAGATAGATAAATATGTATGTATTAATCTACACACACACACACACACACACAAATAGTACTCACTGAGTGCTGCAAACATCTCTAAGACCAAGCTTCTTCCATCTGCTTGCTTGTTCATAGGTAACACAGGTAATATTCTTGGGAATTGTCTTCTAGTTTTTGATCGTTAATCAGCTAAGGAATATCCATATCTGTCGTATGTTTGTTGCTTTCCAGGCTGAAAGTAAAATCTTATTCCTAGAGGCAGTTACTCTGGAAGACAGCAGTGATGGGGTTAGCTGTACAAAGAGTTGATATAGAGACGTAGAGAAAGGTGTATCAGGCAAAAACAAAAAAGTAGAAAAGGATATCTTGGATATTGGTTATGTAAACATTTCAACCTTACCTTAACTTTCAGATCATATCATAACTTCTCAGAGATACAATGGTGAATTTAACAAATCATGACAGACCAAATACTCAAAACTCTCATTTATTAAGGGTAGTTTAAACACAAGTTAAATGTGACCTGCAAAATACTTAACTGTCACTGGAATAAGGTAAGCAAAAGTGACAATGATGATTATATTAAAATGGAAAGGGATTATTTTCCCTTTTACCTTGAAAATTCTGAGTAATAATGCTTCATGGTCTGTTTTGCAAAGTGGTAACTTTCTTCAGAGTTATTTTGACAAATGAGGCACACCCAGAAATTTTTTAATGTTTTTTTTTGAAGAATAGCTAAAAAGTCTAGAGAATTTTGGGATTGTAGAACCAAAAATGTTACTGGGTCACAAGGGTGATATTTTTCCCTTCTATGTATGCATGATTATTTTTTATTTCTTTTTAATAAACAGGGGAAGGAGAATTGTCGTGGGAACATTCTGATGGTGATATCTTCAGGCAACCTGCCAACAGAGAAGCAGTAAGTGTGAATAGCTCAAATAATTCAACACTTCACAGCATCAGGTCAAACTTTCCTCTCCCCATGGCTACTCTCCCAGCAACTCCATAAAAGGGCCTATGTCTAAAACCATTTTTCTTCCCTTGACTGAAAAATTTAAATGGCATCATCACCAACCTAAAACCATTTAAGTACCCTGTGTAATTGGTAACCAGGGCCAGGACATGAATGCAAAGAAATCGTAGCCCCAGACATTGGAAAGCCTTCATCTAGAGTAGAACTTGGTTCCCTTTCAGGATGACTTGCCAAATATTTGTCTTCTGTAAGGAGAGCAGGTCACTGCTCCTATCCTCAACAGTGAGGACATTCTGTGGTTTGTAAAATAGGCCAGCCCATCCTATTGGCAGAGGTACTTTGGAAATTACCAAACAAACCCTCCCCTAAGCCTTAAGTTCTCACTCATACCCATGGTAGAGAGGAAAGGTAACAGGCTAGATTTTCCCTTCTCATTCTGAAACATCTTCTCATTTCCATTCTTGGTATTAATCTCAGAATAAGCTTTATGAGTAGGCATCTCTCTACATATAGTAATAGCATCTCTTGTTGCTTTGTACTGTTAGGTAATTAACAAAATAGAATCTCTATCTAAAAATATATATGTTTAAGTATATCAACACTTCAAACTTTTTAAAATCATAAAAGAATTTGTTCCAGTTCAAAGAATTTATTCTGAAGGTCTTATAAATGTGTACAAAATGTGCAAAGGCATTCAATGCACATACATGGGTGTTTATCACACCCTGGTACAAACAAAAGTGTACAGGGGTATTCAATGCAGCATTATTTTCATAAGAGCAAAACAGAGACAACCTAAGTGTCTATTAATGAAGGCATGGTCAAACAACTTATCTATGGGATCCTGTGCAGGTGTTAATAATAATGTAGTACATAGAAATGTAGTAAAGTGGAAGAATGTCAAAAATATATTATGGAAACAAAACTAAATGCAGGATACAGTTTACACTATCATATGCTTATATAAAAATTATGTGTGTTCATGTATGTAAAAGAATATGAAAATATTTGGAAGGTCACGAACCAACAGGTTAGAGTGGTAATCTCAGAGGGGTTGGAATTGGGCAGGAGGATAGGTCAACTTTGACTTTTCACTTTATATCTTTTGTATTATTTGATGTTTTGCAATGAGTATGAATTAACTTTTTAATAAGTAACATTTAAAGGATTTTCTAAAACCCTAGGAATTAGTTTTCAACATGCATTGGATACAAGGCAAGAGTCTAGGGAATGATAGGGCAGACCGATAGTGAAGGTGTGAGATGTTAGTAGGAGACATAATAAAATGACCAATACAAACATAACAGTGCCGCTTAGGCCATGCTTCCCAGTTGTCACATGTGCCCTTTCTGACTTACATGCCCCCAGCTTGCCAACACCCTCAGCTTCCATTTCCTGTGTTGTGAATTTTCTCTTTTTCTCAGCCCCAAGTTTTGGTTGTTGTAGGAAGTTGAGAGTGGCTAAATTAGTGGCTGTCAACCAGATGCCATTCTAAACCAAATTTAGGTTTCTGTCACCTTGAGCTGTGTGCCTTAATCTGGGTGCCTTAGCTCAGAGCCATTACTAATAACATTACTAATAAGGCCATTAATTAGCCTTTCTTCTTGACTTCTTATGCTGTCCTCAACTCAATCCTTTGCCTTTCAGCCTTGTTGTTCTTCCTAGACTACTGGTGATAGGCCTAGACTTAATCCAGTACTTTCTGTAGCAAAAGAGGTCAGGTACAGTATGCAGCGCCTTGAAATAGTTATTCACTTTCAAAGGAGTTCAAGACTTAACTCTAGAAACATACATTTGGGCCTGGTAGACCAAAATGTCCAGATACTTCCATTTTATTATAAATAAACTAGAGTCCCAGTGCATGGATTTGTACACCAGTGGGGTCCCTCAGCCTGGCCTATGCCCTCTCGCAATCTGGGACCCCTCGGGGGATTTCAGACTGCTAGTTTCGGCCTGCAGGCTGCAGGGGTCAGGCTGAAACTGGCAGTCCGGACATCCCCCGAGGGATGTAGTAGTGTGTGAAGTGGCAGGCAGCCGGGGAGGAGCCTGAGCCCAGGTCGAGCGCCTTGCCACTCCCGCTCATCCCAGCCCTATAGTGGCTGCCTCTGCCACAGCTTGGTAGTGTTGCTGCAGAGCTAGGAGAGGTTGCTGCTGCTATAGCGCCACCACAGTTGCGCACTCACCAGCCATGAGCCCGGCATCTGGCACCTGGCATCTGGAGCCTGTTGGTCAGCTGAGCAGTACTACAACTGTGGGAGCACACTGACCACCAGGGGGCAACTCCTGCATTGAGTGTTTGCCCCCTGGAGGTCAGTGCACATCATAGTGACTGGTCAGAAGGTCAACCGGTCACTTAGGGTTTAATATATATATAGATAGTTTCCTTTGTTCTAAAAGATATAGATATTCGTGATGTGATTTGATTAATAAATAGCATCTGTAGTAATGGAAAATTATGTATGTAGCACATAGTAGTCACCCAATAAATACCTGCTAAATCAATGGGAGTGAAAGATGGAGTGAAATGAGAGTGTGTTGGGGCAGAAGAAAACTTTTTTAAAAATCTTCACCTGAGGATATGTTTATTGATTTAGAGAGAGAGGAAGGAGGACGGAGAGACACAGAAAAACATCGATGTGAGAGAAAAACATTTGGTTGCCTCCTGTACAGGCCCCAGTGGAGATGGAACCCACAACCTAGGTATGTGCCCCGAATGAAAATTGAACCCGCAACCTTTTGGTGTTTGGGAGACTCCAACCAATTGAGCCACCCAGAAAGGGCCAGAGGGGAACTTTTTATTAATATTAATGCACAGAAATTTGTCCCAAATCAGAGAGAAATTCTTCAAAGTTGTTTGTTCTTTACTAGTCAAAAAATGGAAGGTGGGAGAATCCCTTCTGAATAACCTTTGCAATTTCTACATGAGGCGGGGGGGGGGGGGGAGGCAGCCTTAACAACAGTTCTAATTTGTTAGATTTTTAGTAGACTGTCCCATTTAGAGGGACCCTCAAAACCTCAGTTCAACAGAAACACAGCTGATTAGTTTAGTTTGTCGAGTTGGGTAAAAAACATCAGTTTACCAAAGTTTTACAAAGTGCACAGGAAAGAGAACCAGTGTTTTAATTAAGACTCCTTTGTAAAAACCTGAAACAGTTTGTGTTTTATTTCTGGATCATAATTTCATTTTAACTGGTCCTAGTACCATGGGGGAAATGTGTGTGTGGTGGGGGGTGGAGGTAGGTGCAGGGTGGAAAGCCAAAACATGAAAGCAAGCATAATTTTGTTTTGGACAACAGCCAAACTCCAATTTTCCCCCAATATATTACTCATAGATTTACCATTAGAAAAGTGAAAGAGTTTGGGATAGAAACAATATGAAATGTAAAAATCCATGTCTCATTCACATTGTCAGAACAACGGTTTAGGAAGGAAACTGGCCTAAGTGTCTCTCAAACAGGAATAGTCCTAGTTACTAGTAAGAAGAAATATAATGTGTGGATTATAATACTTTTTGAAGGCATTTAAAAAGTAAACGTGCTATTTTGACATAACTCTAGATTCACTTGCAATTGTAAGAGATAATACAGAGAGATTATGTGCCCTTTACCCAGTTTCCCCCAATAGTAACATCTTGCAAAAATCTAGTATAGGATCATAACTATAAAGGCATTTCCCCTTTCTGAACTCTTAGAACTTTTGTGTCTTCACCAGTAAAACCTTATAGAAAATTTGTGATCTATTTAATTAATGTATAACCTTCATTATTGTAAATTTAGAGGGAAATGTATCATACCATTATTACAATTATTTTGGACCAGTGAAAATAAAGTTGCTATTAACAAAACAAAAATCGCCCCTATCTATATCTTAGATCTTAGAACAAATAAGGTAGAAATTGCTGGGGAACTGCTACATTGATGGGAATTTTCCAACACCAGAAAAGAACTGTGGTCCTGGCCAGGTGGCTCAGTTGGTTAGAGCATCATCCCTTACACCAAAAGGTTGTGGGTTCGATTCCCAGTCAGGGAACATACCTTGTGCGGGTTCGATCCCCAGTTGAAACATTTACAGGAGGCAACCAATGGATTTTTCACTCTCACATTGATGTTTCTCTCTCTCCCTTCCTCTCTCTAAACATACCCTCAGGTGAGGATTAGAAAAAAAGAAAATAACTGTGCAAGAGCCATGTCAAAAGCCTAATATATCAGTCCTTCAAGTAAGTAAATCAAATATTGAGCAGAATACAACAAAACATAGCAAACCTGAAACCAATACAAACTAATATTGAAAGTAAACAGTAGTTGAATTTTTTTAAATTAAAAGTGATTTTGAAAAAAGCATACCTATATGGTCATTTGTACCTAACTAGTTTTTTTTTTAATTTCTTTATTGATTAAGGTATTACAAATGTGTCCTCATCCCCCCATTACCCCCCAACCACCCACCCCACTCATGCCCTCATCCCCCTGTTGTCTGTGTCCATTGGTTAGGCCTATATGCTTGCATACAAGTCCTTTGGTTGATCTCTCTCCCTTACCCCCACCCTCCCCTACTTTCCCTCTGAGGTTTGACAGTCTGATCGATGTTTCTCTGTCTCCGCATCTGTTTTTGTTCATCAGTTTATGTTGTTCATTATATTCCATAAATGAGTGAGATCATGTGATATTTATCTTTCTCTGACTGGCTTATTTCACTTAGCATAATGCTCTCCAGTTCCACCCATGCTGTTGCAAATGGTAAAAATTCCTTCTTTTTACTGCAGCGTAGTATTCCATTGTGTAGATGTACCACAGTTTTTTAATCCACTCATCTGGCTGATGGGCACTTAGGCTGTTTCCAAATCTTAGCTATGGTGAATTGTGCTGCTATGAACATAGGGGTGCATATATCCTTTCTGATTGGTGTTTCTAGCTTCTTGGGCTATATTTCTAGGAGTGGGATCACTGGGTCAAATGAGAGTTCCTTTTTTAATTTTTTGAGGAAACTCCATACTGTTCTCCACAGTGGCTGCACCAGTTTGCATTCCCACCAGCAGTGCATGAGGGTTCCTTTTTCTCCGTATCCTTGCCAGCACTTGTCGTTTGTTCATTTGTTGATGATAGCCATTCTGACAGGTATGAGATGGTACCTCATTGTCATTTTGATTTGCTTCTCTCAGATAATTAGTGACTTTGAGCATGTTTTCATATGTCTCTTGGCCTTCCTTCTGTCTTCTTTCAAAAAGTATCTATTTAGGTCCGTTACCCATTTTTTGATCGGGTTTTCTATCTTCTTTTTGTTAGGTTGTATGAGCTCCCTGTAAATGTTGGAGATTAAACCCTTATCGGTGATAACATTTGCAAATATGTTCTCCCATGCAGTGGGCTTTCTTGTTGTTTTGTAGATGGTTTCCTTTGCTATGCAAAAGCTTTTATTTTGATGTAGTTCCATTTGTTTATTTTCTCTTTCGTTTCCATTGCCCTAGGAGCAGTATGGTTGAAGAAATTGCTTCGGCATATGTCTGAGATTTTGCTGCCTATGGATTCATCTAGTATTTTTATGGTTTCCCATCTTATGTTTTAGTCCTTTATCCATTTTGAGTTTATTTTTGTGTATGGTGTGAGTTGGTGGTCTAGTTTCATTTTTTTTGCATGTGTGTGTCCGTCCAATTTTCCTAACACCATTTATTGAGGAGGCTGTCTTAACTTCATGGTATGTTCATGCCTCCTTTGTCGAATATTAATTGGGCATAGTGGTTTGGGTCAATTTCTGGGTTCTCTATTCTAGTCCATTGATCTATATGTCTGTTCTTGTGCCAGTACCAGGCTATTTTGAGAACAGTGGCTTTGTAATACAGCTTGATATCTGGTATTGAGAGCCCACCTACTTTGTTCTTCTTTCCTAACTAGTTTTTTAATTTATATTTTACTGAGGTAACATTGCTAAATAGCATTGTATAAATTTCAATTGTACAACATTATAATTTGATACTTGTTTGCATTATAACATGTTCACCACTAAAAGCCTAGTTTCCATCCATTACCATATATTTGACCCCATTTCACCTCCCCCCACTCCCCTTCCCCTATAGTAACCACCATTCTGTTGTCTGTATGACTTTGTTTTTCTTTTCTTTTGTTTTGTTTGTTAATATTTTGTTTTATATTCCACATATAAATGAAATCATTTGGTTTTTGTACATTTTGGCCTGCTCTTTCAAGCAGCCTAGTCATAGTTGGTTTTCAAGATGTTTCAATTTGGCCCTAACCAGTTTGGCTCAGTGGATAGAGCGTTGGCCTGCGGACTGAAGGGTCCCAGGTTCGATTCCAGTCAAGGGCATGTAGCTTGGTTGCGGGCACATCCCCAGTAGGGGGTGTGCAGGAGGCAGCTGATCAATGTTTCTCTCTCATCGATGTTTCTAACTCTCTATCCCTTTCCCTTCCTCTCTGTAAAAAATCAATAAAATGTATTTTTTTAAAAAGATGTTTCAATTTCACTTACAACTCCAAGGCATTAATACTTTTTTCTTCCTTGCTATAAGTTACAAGATTAGGGCAACAACTCTAAAAGAGCCATTACTCTTAAATAAAAATCACACATCACCACCCCCACTCCCAGACTAAAACAAAAGATCTTTTCTGTCAGTGATGCTCAAACATGGCTTCAAATTAGAGTCCAAGGGGTTGAGAAGTACATACAAATCCTGATGCCTAGGTCTTACCCCCAGACCAATTCCATGGACTCCCTGAGATGGGAGTAATTACGCATCAGTAATTTTACAGCTTCCCAGGTGATTCTGTGTGCAGCTGAAGTGGAAACCAGTGGTATATGTAGTTGTGAACATTTCTATATTGGAAAGAACTTTTCTTCAGACCATTTTTTATCAAAATATTTGTGGAACACTGAGCTTGACCAGACATTATCTCTCCCACCTTCTATTCCTCTTCTTCCTCTTTCTCCTCCTGTACTTCTTCCTTTTTCTTTCCCCTCACTCTCACTCACTCCCACTCTCCCGCCAGCTATACTAGTAAAACCTCAACCTTCATTGTCACTTTGAATAAAATCCCTATACTCCCTGGCCTCAGTTTCTCTGTTTGTAAAACACAAGACTTACATAAGATGAGGTGGTTGAGGCAGGGGGTTGACTGTTTTCTGAACTTTTGTTTTGTCTTGAATCATTTTTCTACCGTTATCATATGTCTAGGGTCTAAGTCCCTGGTACTAAAGAACAGCTTTTCATTTTGTGCTCACCCCCATGAATCAGAGAACTACTTGTGCTTACAGCTTATCCTGGGTCAGCGACCTTCCCTCTCAAATTCTAGTCCTGTCAACCTCCCTCCTTTTAGCATCAGTAGGACACCCAGAATCAAAAGTCCTCTCTGTGTTCCTTTGGCAAAACGTTGCCAAACTCCAAAAAGGACAGAACAATCTGTAATGTCCTTTCTGAAATGTGATTATGGTAGAAAAAGATGTATGAGCCATTGTGGAGATGAAAAATATTTACACTGAGTATCCTATCTGTGTGAATGATAATAAATGGATACACATTCTTATTTGTGTGCATTTTTACAGGAATGCACTAGGTTGGGCTCTTCTTAGAGGGAATAATGTTCTCTTTCTCTAGCTCCAGCCCCTGTTCACTTGCCCCTTCTCCCACGAAAGCCCCCTCTCCAAAAGAGTGATAATAATTCCCAAAGCTAAATTTGCAACATGTGTGCTTATGGGACATAACTGTATTAAATGTTTTATGGGATGGCAGGATCACAGGACCCATAACTATCTTCTCAAAGTTCCCTGCTATCTCTATCACTACATATAAGGATCTTCCTTTTCAATTGCCTGCAAAAACTTTTAATGGGTCTTTCCTCCTTTATCCCTAATAATTATCTCTAAAACACTGTTATTTGGCTTTAAGCCTTAGGTTCTATTCTTCATTCATGTCATCCTCTTCCGTCCTCTACCTCAGCTTCTTGGACAGAGGTGGGTAACAGGATAGTGGGCTCATCATGTGTCTTCACCCCTTGCTGAAAGAGCAATGGTTGCATTACTTGCGCTACAAGACTCTAAGCTTTCATTCATTCATTCATTCAAGTTTTTTTATGAGCACCTTCTAGATGCTAGACACTATTTTAGGTATGGAAAATATAGCAGTTAACTAAACAAAGTCATTGCCTCTGTAAAGCTGAATCCTATTACTGGCATGCAGTGTTAATTCGTTATCTATAAAATATATACACTATCTGTGCACTGATCGATGATCTCATGCCATTACCTATGTTTAGTCTCGAGTCTGTACACTTATCTGGACTGTACTTGACTCCCATCTCTTCCTTCTATCCAGTTCACCTTATGCATTTCCAGGATTCAATGCTTGGAAACACAGTTTTAATTATTACTCTGCTTTTAAAAACATCCCTCAAAGGCTCTCATACCATCACCTCTGTTGCCTACCAAACAGAGCCCTCACTCCTTAGCCTGGCATTTAAAGTTCTCCATGATCTAGGGCCAGCCCGCTTCTGGGATGTTATCCTTCAACTGTTCCCTTGTATGGACTCTGTGTTCTGTGCTGCACCTTGTCAACTTGGAAACCTCTGCCTGCAATCTTCCTCACCAACTCTGCCCAAAAGAAGTATATCCACTCTTCATGACCCAGATCACAAAGCCTCCCCAAAGAAAAGCTCTCTCTCTTATCATAATCTGCACAGTATTTTATACTTGTCCTGTGGCCTCTGCCACATCCTGCCTTGTGTTGCAGGCTTAACTCTTAACCCTAAATGTGAAAGTTTTATGAGCAAGAAGAATACTTTACCCTTTTGGGCTGTTTGCTCCCTCAGAAGTTTGTAGGTGAATCTAGTCCAATCTTCCATAAGAAGAGAGAAAAGCCCTGGCTGGTATGGCTCAGTTGGTTGAAGCATTGTCTCGTACACCAAAAGGTTGCGGGTTCAATTCCTGGTAAAGGCACATACTAAAGTTGGATTTATGGGAGGCAACAGATCAATGTTTCCTCTGTCTCTCTCTCTGTCCCTCTCTCTCTCTTTTTCTCTAATATCAATAAGCATGTCTTTGGGTGAGGATGAGAGAGAGAGAGAGAGAGAGAGAGAGAGAGAGAGAGAGAGACAGAGAGAGACAGGGAGAGAGAGATCTCAGCATACTGCCAGTGCTGATTTACTTTATGTCCTTATTTTTTTCTTGGTGTGGGTAGATGTGCAGTTTATTTTTATTAAGGATTTAACTTTTTAAAAAATATCTATATATATAAAAACCTAATATGCTAAGTGTCTGACCGTTTGACCTTTTGACCAGTCGCTATGATGCACAGTGACCACCAGGGGGCAGATGCCCCAACCGGTAGGATAGCTGGGGTCCAGCCAATCAGGACTGGGCAAGATGAGCCAGACATGCCCTAGAGCCCTCCTGCAGTCCCTCCCTGGCCCTGACAGTGCACCGGTGGAGTCCCTTGGCCTGGCCTGTGCCCTCTCGCAATCCAAGACTCCTTGGGGGATGTTGGAGAGCTGGGTTCAGCTCAATGCCTACAGACCAGGCTGAGGGACCCCACTGGTACATGAATCTGTGCACCAGGCCTCTATATTTTTATTGATTTCAGAGAGGATGGGAGAGGAAGTGAGAGATAGAAACATCAAGGATGAGAGAGAATCATTCATCAGCTACCTCCTGCACACCCCCAGACCCCCACTGGGGATCAAGTCCACAACCCATGTGACCTGCTGGTTCATAGGTCAACACTCAACTTCTGAGCCACAATGGCCAGGCAGATGTGCAGTTTAGATCAGAGCTCATCACTATAAAATGATTAAATTCCCTCTAATGGATGTAAGGCTATTTCTGCCTTTTCATTGGTGGATTTGAGGAACTGAATTTGTCCTTGTCATTTTACAGAGACATTCTTACCACCGATCTCATTATGACCCTCCACCAAGCCGACAGGCTGGAGGCCTACCCCGCTTTACTGGGGCCAGAAGTCACCGGGGAGCTCTTATGGATTCCCAGCAAGCCTCTGGTACCATTGTGCAGATTGTCATCAATAACAAGCACAAGCATGGACAAGGTAAGGGGCATGCTTGTTTTGTACTACCTCCACATTAGGGCTTCAGCAGCCCTGGTCTTTGGAGGGCTCAAGCTGGGAAAGGGCCTTTGCTCCCATGCATATCATACATTCACATGTGGATCATTCACTATCAAGTCTACAAATTGAGTATGGACAAGTAACTCCAGAGGACACAAGATTTCCCTAAATATAGCCTTAAGAGTATAGCTAATATTTTAGATGTATCTGTCATTATTTAGAACAAAAGGCGAGAAAACAAGGAACCTAATGCAGCCTACACCATTTCTCAGTTGCCCCTAGGGGTTGAATTACATTTGGGAAAGTTCATTGGATCTTTAGCAGAATGAGAGTCTGTTCATTTTCTAGTAGGAGACCCACTATTCAAAGGTAGTAAGTGCCAAATGCTTTTGAAGCTCTTCTCCATACCTTAGAAATAGCAAATCTCTCACCTCAATGCACCCGAGTCTCCTGAGGCTTTTGTGAAAGATACATTCCCCAGGACCCATGCTCAGAAATTCTACCTTATATGAAGAGATTGTCCTTAAAAATGAGTAATCCAGTGAGAAAAATCCAGAAACCTCCTGGCTTAGGACCAGGAGGACTGATCAGATTCACACGGACATGCAGCCCACTCAGCCAGCCAGCCAGCTGGCTACAGCAGGCACCCATACTCATCCAAGGCCCATTCCTTCCTGCACAGAGTTCTCTGGCCTCCACACCCCCAGTAGCGGGGGTGGGGAGAGGAGAAATTCAAACAATTGACTGCTCCTTACTTATTTAGGCATTGTGTCAACCAGTTCTTCTGAGCAAGAGCTCAGCTGGTTCCTTTTTATGAAACCATAAACATGTTTTGTTTCCTTTAAAGGAAAAAACAAATCAAAGGCAGTTCTCTGAATGGGTTAAAAGTAATAAATTATTAAAACAAATGATTGAATAGCATGTATGAAAAACAATCTGTTACAAAGAACTCCTACTATAAATCTCAAAAAAACTAGTCAAGCCAGGGCTAGTTGATCACATCTGTTACTAGTTAGATAAAAATTTCAGATTTCAGATAAAAAAATTAAATTGCTTTTGAAACTAAGAAGCTTAAAAGAAAACCCTGCAAAATAAAACTCTTAATTAAAAATGGTGATATATTAGAAGAATTGGAAATATTTATTATTGATCAGGGTTTGGTTTGAAATTTATTATTTTTAAATCCTAAGGAATTTTGATATGAATTTCTGAAATGAGGAGGAATTAGGTAAAGATGCAGTTTGATTCTTAACACTGAATTGCCTCCAGTAGATTCCATTTGCTCTGAAAGTATTTCAAAACCTTAAAAAACGTGTGGGGAAATGGACTTTGAAAATCCTAAATCCCATAATTTCTATAGGCCTCTTCATTTTCAGGGAAGAGGCTCACCCCTTGATTTTCTCCATGTCCTACAAAAGCCCCAGCTGGTTCATAGTTATTCATTCCCCCCTCCAATTGATTTGGTTGCAGCAGTTCTTACCTGACCTTTCTATTATAGTTCACTGTACAATCACTTGCCCCCCACCCCCAACTACCAAGGCCCCAGATGGATACATTCAAAATTATCTTGAGAATTTTTTGGCAAGGAGAAGGCTGTGTTTCCTTCTGGAGAATTAACCCCACCCTATTTCACTTCAGAGTATAGGCTCTCATCCAGTCTAGATTGCTTCCTTAGTCCAAAAGTTTAAGGCAGAGGGAACAACACTGGAAGTCCTGCCTGCACTTTTCTTAGCTCTCCTGCTAACTATGTGCTCCTCTGAGATACATATACTTGATCCCTTGGTAAAGTGAAAGAAAAGAAGTGACAGGAAAGACTCCACCATCTTGAATGTGAGTCCATCCTAAATTTTCTTAAAGCAAACAGTGTACCCACTTGATTGAATTGTCTAGAATGGAGTATCACTGTCTGGGGAGGAAAGAGAATAACACATCTTTCCTGTCTTGTCATGTGATTCTATCTACAGCCCGGAGCCTCAGGGTTCAGATATCAGGTCCCTATTTTATCTTACTGTAAGGTTGGGAATTTCTCTGATTTAGGTTCTTAGCGGTTCTTGGAAATATTTACATAGATTGCCCTGTTGGAGTGACTAGTACTCTAACAGCTCTTGTAAAGGACAGGAAAAGATAACCAGCATCATTCATATTTCCTAATGTGACCCAGTGGACTTGATGAGAAAGAAATAGCCCAATGATTCATTCTTCTGAGGCCACTGTCTTGCAGCCAAATCAGTCAATTCCTAGAAACGCCCCAAATGGGGTTATTTCTCCCACCCTAGCCCTGCCTTAAGTGATACAACCCATCCTGTTGATTGGGATGCCGACAGGTCTCCCTGGGTATGATGCGGTGATGGTAAGAATGAGAAACACACCCAATCCCAGCCATGGCTTGAAATCTCCAAAATGTCTCAGTATTCTCAAAAAGGGAGACAACTCATTCTCAGACCTTTCTATTCACAGCCCTGTGCAGTCCTCATCCTGGATCCTAGCTCCATGCCTCACATTAGGAGCTGGATAAGTTTTGGTTGTATTGCATTGAAGGATGCTCCTGTGACCCCTCCCCTTTATAGGCTCCTCAGCCTACAGCCCAGATGCTGGCTCTTGCAAGGACCCTCAGAAAACATGGAGCCAGTGACTTCACTTCCCACTCAACAAATGTGAGACCACCAAGGATATATCTAGGGCAGGCAGTGATTCACTCCAGCCTAATATCTACAACCACTATGAGGCAAGGGTCAGAGGACACTGCCTGAAGTTTACAGGCAAAAAAGGCTACCTTTCACCACTTACCTGGTTGGTGTGGGTCCTTTTCCTCCCAATCTTGTCTTAGCACTTTCCTTCCAAGGCCAGTACCATTAGGCTCCGTAGACATTAGTGTTGGTGGATCGGACTCATAGCATTTGTTATTATGAATGGATTTGCTTCAGGATTCGAGGGTGGGGGCCGTAGCCTATTGGGAAGAGCAGTAGTTTTTGCATCTAGCTTCCCTGGGTGGTAAACCTCTGGGGTAAATTTTCATGGCAAGAAGCACATGCACTTGGGCCATATTATCTATGAAACTGCAGCCATTAAAACTACATTCTACTAGGTTCCTTATCAGATACCCAGAAAAGATAGAACTTTGCTTTCATTCATTCCCGCACTTTAAAAAACATTTACTTATTGACAGCCATGCACTTGTGAGCATCCAAAGGCTACTGCTGAAGAACCTGAATAGTTGCTGATGGTAGAACAAGGCCCAAGGTGTGTTTATTTGGAAGAGGCTTCCCTGTAAATGTATCTCCATGGCCATGTAAAGAACTAAAGATGCTTGATGTCTTAAGGGGTTCAGGGCTTAGGTTCTGAGCACAGGGGCCCATTTTAACTCCCTAACCTTTAATTTCCAGTATTGTGTTCTCTTCCAGTGTGTGTTTCCAACGGAAAGACCTATTCTCATGGTGAATCCTGGCATCCTAACCTCCGGGCATTTGGCATTGTGGAGTGTGTGTTGTGTACTTGTAATGTCACCAAACAAGAGTGTAAGAAAATTCACTGCCCCAACCGATACCCCTGCAAGTACCCTCAAAAAATAGATGGAAAGTGCTGCAAGGTGTGTCCAGGTAAAAAGGCAAAAGGTGCGTTGGCTGGAAGCCCTGCCTCATAGTCATTCTCAATGTTCTGTGAACATCAGAAACATAATCAACCTGTCATATCATTGTAATGATAACAGTTCTACTAATAATGAACTGCATTCTCTTCTCTTTTAAAGGGCTAGTAAGACTATTGCTTGGAAGAAATGCACTACTAAGAATTAGACATTGGATGTGTTTGTGTCAACCATACCTTTGACTCCATGGAGCCCTAAGTACCAAACTTTAGCCTTGGTTTTATAAGTAGTAGAGAAATTAGCTTATGATGATAATTAGGAAGAACAATAGCAGCTTTAATTTTTATATTACTATTTAACTCATCAAAGCATGATCACATCCAGCCCTAACTGGTTTGGCTCAGTGGATAGAGCGTTGGCCTGCGGACTGAAGGGTCCCAGGTTCTATTCCGGTCAAGGGCATGTACCTTGGTTGAGGGTACATCCCCAGTGGGGGGTGTGCACAAGGCAGCTGATCGATGTTTCTCTCTCATCGATGTTTCTGGCTCTCTATCCCTCTCCCTTCCTCTCTGTAAAAAATCAATAAAATATATTTTTTAAAAAAGCATGATCACATCCAATATCCTTTTGAGATAAGATAAGAGACAGGTGAGGTATAGTGGAAAGAGAGTGGGTTTTGGTTCTAATCAAAGTTGCTGTGCGACCTTGGAAATGTGCCCTGTCTGCTCTGGGCCTCATCAGCCTCATCTGTATAATGAAAAGCTTAAAACAGTTGACCTACAAGCCCTGTTCCAAGAGTAAAATCCTATCATGATGTTACTATTTCTTTGTTAATGATAAGAAAACTGAGGTGTATAATTAGTGACTTGTCCAGAGCCACACAAATAGATAATAAAACCAAGGCCTGGAAGCCATGTCACTTATAGCCCATTGTCTTTTCCAGGCCAGTAGAAAATGTAAACTGATTTAAAAATGCTAGATTAATTATTTAAATACTGCTTTTAACACATGAGCTAGATAAAAATATAGTTTGTAGTATTGGGTTTCACAGAGTATGGAATTGGTAAGCAAGTATTCTAGCCCTGCCTCTGCCACTGGTTTACTGTGTGTCCTAGAACAAGTCACTTCACCTCTCTGAGCTTCAGTTTTCTTCTCTGCAAAATGAAGGGTTGGAATAGATTATTTCTTAGGGTCCTTCTAGCTTCAACATTCTAATAGTGAATTAATTAATTACTTTCAAGGACATGAATTTATCATTTCTTACGCCTACATGCAAAGCATTTTTGTAAACACAGTTGAAAAAACAAACATTTTTAAATGTAAGCAGAGAGCTAAATTATTTATTTCTTCAATTTAGGCAGTTTCTCATGAGTAGCAGGTGACCATGATTTTGTTCAGTGTATATTTTTTGAGCACCATCATGTAGGTCAATGGTTCCCAAGTTTGTCTACACATTGGAATCCCCCAGAGAGCTTCTAAAATTATCTGTGTCCCATCCTTAGAGATCATGATTTAATTGCTATGAGGTGTGGCCTGCACTTTGGATTTTTAAAGATTCCCAGATGATATTAATTTGCAGACAATTTTGGGAACCCTGGATGTAGGCCCAGGGTGATTTATGGTCTTGCTACTCAAAGTGTGTTTTGTGGACCAGAAATACCTGAAAGCTATTTAGAAATGCAGGTTTTCCCCAGGCCAACTGCATCAGAATCTGCATTTCAACAAGACTCATGTGTTGATTCCAATGCACATTAAAGTTTGAAAAGCTTTTACTAATGGCACAAACAAAATCTTTCTTAATGTAACAACCCTCATCTTCCAAAGTAAACAGGGGCAGGGTGTGAAAAAAAAAAAAAAAGACCAGAACTATCTGATCTGGAGTAGATAATTGTGCCATTGAAATTGGTGAGGAAATGGACTCACTAGGGGTAGGGAGAGAGCACATTCTGATGTTGAAATGGACAGGGGGGCCACCCAGCCACGATGGCCTATTATGACTTCCAAGTATGTAATCTCACTGGATCCTCAAACATTTTAGTGTCACTTAAGGTTAATTCTGCCAATACAATTTTCTCTTTGGTCAAGGGTCTATCACCTATAGTCATATAAGTAATACAACATGATAATTTCAGATTAAATTAATAGCCACCTAAAATACCCCAGGTAAGGTAAATCCTCCTACTGTGTAATATTACAATTTGAATCTCAGGCCTTTCAAAATAGAAGTTGAATAAAAATGTGTTGAGAACAGGACACAGAACAGGCATAACCTTAAAATAATTGACCTCTCAGAATGGTAATATTTATTTAAAAACATTACTTTCCATACTCTTTGGCTAAGCCATTTCACTCCTAGAAATCCTCTGTATGTTGTAAGATACATACACATATATACAAACAAGGATTTTTGCTGCAGTGCTGTTAACAATAGTGAAAAACTATAAACAATTTGAAAGTCTACCAATATGGGGATAGTTAAATAAATTATGGTACATCTATACTATGGCATAGCACATAGCCATTAACAAAATGAACTGACAAACAAAATAGAACCAGAGACATGAATACATGGAACAGACTGACAAAGGGGAGGAGGGACGGAGGGACTGGGTAAAAGAAAGTGAAGGTATTAGCCAAAGAACATATATGCATAGCCTATGAACACAGACAATAGTGTGGTGAAGGCCAGATGAGGGCAGGGATGGAAATGGAGGTCACTTATAACAGTGTCAACAATAAAAAAAGAAGTGGCCCACAGCAAAATAATAACCCCCTTTCCCCAAAAAAATCATTGTAGACCAAGATTTAATGGCACAGAAAGATGTTTGCAATATATTTAAGTACAAAGAGAAAGCTACAAAACAATATATATAATATGATCCCATTTATGTGTTAAAAAGAAAGTGTCTATAATAGACAAAAAAAGACTGTAAGGGTATATATAGCAGAATGTTAACAGTGATTATCTTTAGGTGACTGAATTATAGGTAATTTTTATTTTCTTCTTTTTGTTTATCTCTATTTTTCAAAGTATATTATGTTTGTAATTAGAAATATATATATTATTTTTAAAACTGCCCTCCAAAATTCCAATTGGTAATATAGTGAGAAGTCTAATTGACTCAACCTGTTTCTCTAAAAAAGCTGTTTTCCCACTACACTGAGATGTGTGGAAATAGAAGACTTATTATTTTGTTTATTTGTTCCCTTTACTTTATCTCTGTTTTTTAATGTTTTATTGAATTTATTGGGGTGACACTGGTTAACAAATTATACAGGTTCTAGGTGCATGATTCCATGAGAAATAGAAGACTTACTGAGCAACATGGAAGTGAGAGTGTCTGTATCTTTCTGTGTACCTGTTTCTCAGTGAGCCAAACAGTAGTGTGTGCATATTGAATGATTCCTGATAGTCATATTGCCCAACAACAGTACCTATCTAGAGGCCAGGGCACCAGCTGCAGGTATTCAGCAACTTCAGAGCATCAAAGGGCATGCACTTGCTTATGCATTCAATCTTGAAATACATATTATGTGCCTACAGTTTGCAAGATACTGCTATAGGCACTGAAAATTGAGAGATGAACAAGAAAGACAAAGGCTACTTGCTGGCATGCTCCTTATATTCTAGTGGGAGAAAAAAACAACAACAATGAACACAAACCAGTAAGGTAATTTTAGGTTGTGATGAGTACTGTGAAGAAAATATAAATAGAATCAAATGATACTGAATGGGTTGTGGCACTTTAAAAAGAGTGGTCAGGGAAGGCTTCTCTGAAGAGATATTTGTGTAGAGTTCTGAATGATGTGAAGGAGTGAGAAATGGGAAGATCATGGCATCACTAGCTTCTTAGAAAATAACATATGACAGAGGAAAAGGAACAAAGGATTGAGGAGGGAAAAGGTTGATGGGAAAAAAGGAAGAGTACATTCAGTTATTCATGTTGAAAAGGGAAAAGAGACAAAATTTGCTGATGATCCAGCGAAAAGTTTTGTTATAACAAATTATTGCAGGCTACTTTAGTAACAAACGAGGGCCAAAATAAAGGATGTGAGTTTTGCCTCTCTCTCTTGCTTGTTCTCTGGTACAGGCTGCCTTGCCTGGCATATCAGTATTGTGTAGGACTTCCACTTTCTGAAGGTTCCCCAACTCCCTTCTCACTCCACTATACCACCCTGATACCAGGAATTCCCATAATTACACTTTCTTTGGGATTACAACATAAAACATTCCTATTACGACTTAAAACTTTCCTGGGCTGGGCTAAAACATCTTCATCAGTCATCACCACTTCCGAAAGGAAATGGTTTCTTAATTTCTTAGTTCTGGAAGGCTCAGAGCAGGAGCATTCCCCTGAGAAGTGGGAGTGGCCAAAATGACTTCAAGCATGGCATTCTTCCCTGGAAGGAAATGAAAGTAAGTGAACATGAGTGATCAGAAAGCACCTTGAGGTGGAGGGTGTAGAATGAGGAGAATGTTCCTGAGTAAGTAGTTCGAAATACACACTTTGTTTTACACTTAACATTTTCAAGTGCCAATCAACAAATGGATTATGTTGCTTGTAGATCCCTTCTGATGAGTGACTCAAGCTCTTGAAGGGGAAGGGGTGTTGGTGAAGGATGACTCTTCAGGACACTGGGAGAATATTTAGTATATTGTAGGTACTTCCAGTGTCATCATGGATTTCATATGGCAGTTATAACCATAGCCAGTATTAAGCTAGTGAGCAAATTTTAACAAATGAACTCAGCTCGCACATTAAAGGTGATAATTATGTACATAAGAGTTCCTGTACATTCAGTGATCTCCCCACCTTCACCCATTTGAAAAGTGCTAGAACACCCCTTAAATACCTAACATATCACCTTTTTTAGACTGGTCCACCTGGGAATTAAATAAATAAAAAGAAGGTCTAAAGGAGAAGGGAATTTTGATTTTAGGATAATCTAAACATTGAGTAATCCAACCTGGAATCATCAAGAGAAGACTTGGTTTTGTCCTCACTGTGTCAATAAGATGATGGGGGTGGGAAAGCTAATCAGGTCAGCAAGAGACATCAATAGCAATTTGATTACAACCTCTTGTCCAAATGTGTTTCATTGGTTAACAGTGATCTTCCTAATTAGAATCACAAATCCAAAACACTTAACATTTTATATATATATATATATATATATATATATATATATATATATATATATATATATCTTGATTTCAGAGAGGAAGGGAGAGGTAGAGGTAGAAACATCAACAATGAAGGAATCATTGATCGACTGCCTCCTGCGCCCCCCACACTGGGGTTGGAGCCTGCAACTTGGGCATGTGCCCTGACTGGAGCCATGCTGGCCATGCTATATATAGATCTATATAGATCTATATCTATCTATCTATCTATCTATCTATCTATCTATCTATCTATAGGTAGATAGATAGATAGATAGATAGATATATCTATATCTATCTATATATATATATATATATATATATATAGAGAGAGAGAGAGAGAGAGAGAGAGAGAGAGAGAGAGAGAGAAGAAGAAGAAGAAGAAGAAGAAGAAGAAGGAGGAGGAGGAGGAGGAGGAGGAGGAGGAGGAGGAGGAGGAGGAGGAGAGAGAAGAGGATCGACTGTGCAATCTAGATATGTGCCCTGATCAGGAATCAAACCCATAACCTTTCAGTGTAAGGGACAATGCTCCAACCAACTGAGCCACACCAATGTTCAATGCTCTTATCAAATACTTTCATAGATGGTTTCTGCCCTTATTCAAAGTTTTCAGAGTGTCTGTGGCATCTCTTTGTTGTTCCTGACTTGAGTGTACACTTTAGTACACAGCTGAAGAGGGTGCCCAGAGGCCAGCAGAAAAAAACTTAACTCACAGATAGTCAGCCAAGAGAAACCTTTTTTAATAGGGGACTGAGGAATGAGGAGGGTGGAGCGGAATGGGGAATATCAGGAGGAGGTACCTTTATTCCTGGAAGCTGAAACCCAAGTTTAGATTAAACTTTAAATGATCCATAGTTGAGGGAGTTGACCAGTTCTTGTGTGTCTCCCAACCATTTGGCATACCATGCATATGACTAAGCTGACATCTAGCGTTTGGCACTGGTGTTGATTTGGTATTATCATTCCCCTTAAAAAACAAATCAAAGAGCATTCAGAAATGTCAAGCTAATTTGGATAGATCATTTGAGCAAATATATGCACACAAAGGAGTATCATAGATGTTTTCTAAGTATAAGTGATGTCAGGGACGTTAACCAAGGCCCTCTTTCAGCCCATTCCCTAGGCCTCTGTTGGTAATACTGAGCTAGATAGACCATGATCCTGACCCAAAACGGAGAAATCTATGTTCCCTTAATTGCCTAAGAGATTCATATCTGTCCAAGTTCTTCTTCCTCATGAAGGTCCACTTCTCATGTGGCGCTTGGTGGATCCACTTTAGTTTGTGGGCCAGTGTTCTACAGAACTATGGATTCTGTCATCTTGTGGACTTAAATTAAAGGCCATGTGCTCCTTTGTGATTTGGTGGCTGTTATAGAAGCAGCCTAAACTGACACAGTGAAATATGGGTGTAACTTCTATCTCTATAACAATATTCTTGTTGATTTTCCAATTTTGATGAGTATATGTGTTACAAACAGATAGATAAATGCAAAAGTTCACTTCTGGATATGCAAGCCAGTGACAGAATTTTTCTTGCTTCCTGATTCTAGAAGAACTTCCAGGCCAAAGCTTTGATAGCAAAGGCTACTTTTGTGGAGAAGAAACAATGCCCGTGTATGAGTCTGTGTTCATGGAGGATGGGGAGACAACCAGAAAAATAGCATTGGAGACAGAGAGACCACCGCAGGTAGAGGTCCATGTTTGGACAATTCAAAAGGGTAAGCAAAACAACATTAATTTTTCTTTGGTGGTTTGCTTTTGTTTTTGTTTTGTTGTGTTGCGTGGTGTGTGTGTGTGTGTGTGTGTGTGTGTGTGTGTGTGTGTGTGTTTTATAAAGGGGCTACAGGGAAGGAGGGGAAGCCTCACCATAATTTTGCTTCAACCTGTTTCTCCTTTTGGGACAGAAGAATTCCTGATTGCTTAGAAACTAACATATGACTAATACAGTTATTATGGCCTTTAACTTTAACGTTGACCTGGGCTAAAAAATAAAAACTAAGTATTTACCCTTGGGATTTGTTGTCTTTTTCATACAACAAGGCTAGAGGATTGTTTCTCAACCCTGGCTGCACATCAGAATAATCTGGGAGAAAAAATTTTAAATACCAAATGCCTGGGCCTAACCTGAGAGATTCTGACTGAGTGGTTGGGAGTGGGGCCTGAGCTTAAGTGTTTTATAAAGCTCCACAGGTGATTCTAGTATATAGTTAAGTTTACAAACTATCAAACTATAGTCTATGGTTCTTTCCAACATGAAACTCCACGAACATGAAAATATATTCATTTGGTAAGAAGCAAAGTCTCTTGAATCATGCTTCGTACTCTGGAGTAAGACAAATTGAAAACATGATCCCTGCCCTCAAGTTTATAGTTTCACTGGAGGAACAATCCCAGTCATGATGTCCAATTTCTTTTTTGATTATTCACATTACCATAGCAAGCCACATTGTGCTCACTGTAATTCAGATTATCTCATAGATAAAAGATAAGTGCTGATCTAGTCTGGTCAAGTTTTCTAGGAATCCAAAGGTAGAGGTGAGATTTCAATTGAAAAATTATAAACATCTTTTTTCTACTGGCACCTGCATAAGTCTCAAGAGTACTCAAACTTTAGTATGTTTCAGTGTCATGCAAGGAGGTGGTTTATAATGCAGCTGCTTGGCCCCATCCATGAAATGCTACTTCAGTAGTCTTGGGTAGCTTCTAAAGTTTTGAATTTTTAAGCAATAGGCAGGTGATTCTAATGCAGATGGCACTTGGACCATACTTGGAGAAATAACTGCTCTAGTATTTGTGGGGCTTTTTCTCTCCCTTTTCACAACCACCTTTCTTTCTTGAAAGAAAGAGTTCCTCCGTACCCCTTAAATATATTCTAGAACACACATATGTTTCTTGTCCGTGTTTATTTTTGCTCTATACCTAGAAATGTTGATTTTCAGTCTCTAACTCCATAGCTCTTCTGTAGCTGGCCACCTAGGACTACGCACTGTTCTGTTGGCTTCCCTAGCAGTGGGCCCACTATTCATCATGTAAAATCTCACACCCCACAGAGCTGTATGGGTGTTTTTCAACTTGCTAGTGTAGCATCTAAATAACCTTGTTCATAGTACAGGTGATCACGGTGTGTGCATAATGGGCAGAGAAATACCCAGGCTTCATTTCCATTGCTCCCTGTAGACCTCTTGGGGATTAGTCAAGTGAGCCGGTACCATGTTGCTCATTAACTGCAAGGTAATTTTCAGTAGTGTACATGTTATTTTGATAAAAGCAATTCAGTCATTGTTGAGACAATGGAACCCCTTATTTTAACTCTCCCTACTTTTATAAGAGAAAGCTAAAGGAGCTGTGAATATTCCCCAAAGGAAAATACACTTTTTGGTATATTGAAGATCAGGAATGGCTTCTCCATTTACACAAACAACATGTTTGCAGTCCCACTGCTGGTTGTCACTGCTTAGCCAAGAGGGCAGCCCAGTGGTTTTAGCAGGGACATCGTCTACCCAGACTTGGGGCAAAGACAGAATTTCTAATACTGCCCATATCTGATTCCATGTGGCTTTCCCTAGGACGGTGTCCCATGATCAGCAGCACCATTTCCCTTATCTCCATCCTCTAGAGAACCAGGAGGAAGCCAGTGAAACAAGGAAACAAATGGAGTTAATTATAACCCTAGAGCCATCCAAGTTCTGGTTAAGCACATTACACAGCCGAGCTCAATACTCCTAAGCCCCAGTAATGAGATGATATGCTTAGCCCAAGCAGAAAAAGGGGCTGGTGGTTCCAGATAGAGAGAGCCTGATCACCTGCCCAACATTTTTGCTTGGCTCCAGGCATCCTTCAGCATTTCCATATTGAGAAAATCTCCAAGAGGATGTTTGAGGAGCTCCATCACTTCAAGCTTGTGACCAGGACAACCCTGAGTAAGTGGTACCTCTCTTTCTTTACTCCTCCCTGGAAAACACATCCAGTTTTCAATGGAGCACAGCTCCAAATAAAGTCTTTCTGTATTCTTAATGAGCATTAGTTATGCTCAATATCAACATCAGATGATGTTTTATCTCTCCTCTGGGTAACTTAGCAGGGAAAGGGGTGTCTGGATGTGAGTGAACTGAAGATCTTGGACCTTGTGCATACAAATCCAGATGTATTAAGCATAAGCTACCTCAGATCAAGGTTTCCTGAACATCTTTAATGAAACTGATAAACCCAGAGTTTCAAGATGGTTAGAGAACTCTCACAGGATTCCAGATCTGATGTATTTGTGGAGACTTCACATCTGGAAGGGTATGTCCTCTAGTGTTGGGGATGAGAGACAGAGAAAATTATTCCTGTACTGTATCAAAGATGTGTTTGGCTCTTTGGAACTGCCCCTGGGTGTTAATGTTTCTTTAAAAGCATTCAGGCACTGAGGCATACTTGTAGCTCTCCCAGTTTCTACACTAGATGGAGCCTAGGGACAAGATACTGCTAGGCACTGGGGGCAGAGGGTGGGGGTGGGAAGCACTTCTGAAGGAATAAAAGACAAAATTTCTATCCACAGGGAATTCTAATGGGCGAGACAGAACATGAAAATGCTTTCACTATGAATTAGTATACTTCTGAGGAATTAAATACCTAAGTGCTCAGGGGAATCTGCAAGGAACAATGCTATGAGAGCCAGGTGGGCTTATTTGAGGAAGGCTTCAGGAGGAGGTGTGTTTTGAAAGAGAAGGGTGTGGCTGGGCAACAGGTCAGGGAATCAGTCCAGGAATAGAGTGAAGCCGAAGAGAAGACTCAGACAGGAGCAAACAAGAAGTGTAGGTGTGGGTGGGTGGGTGTGGGTGAGGAACAATTACAAAGACCACATAGGGTGCACAGAAATATGAGAGGAGTTAGAGGCAGGAAGTAGTTAGAGGACCTGAAGGAAACAAGTGAGAAGTTCAGATATAAGGCAAGTAGCATTGGTAGTTGCTCTATACTTACAAACAGTATAGTGATATCCAAAAGGTGTTTTGGAAGGATATTTCTTAGCTTTCATATGGATTTATTAAGCACCTACTTTAATTAGGCCAGATTCTGTAGAGTCCAATATGCCATGCTAAGAAGTTGGACTTGATCTCCAGACCAGAGTACCCCAGTGATGGTTTTTAAGCAAGTAAAGGATATATTCATATAGAGAGAAGCAGTTGTTGTGTGGAGTGAAAGTTGGACTGTTAGTGAAAGAGCTGGTGATAGTCTTAATTAGAAAGTGATTATACAGTACTAAGTATGTTAGAGAGCAGAAGTCACTGTGAGATACAGCTCTGATTAAATAATCAAGAACGGTATCAAAGAGAGAAATGAGTGTGGAAAGACTCTAATATTAACAACTTTATAGACTGGGTGAATTAGTAATACCATTCACCAATGGGAACCTCTGACAATATGTGTTTGGTGGAAAGAAATGAGTTTCACTTAAAACATCTTTGCCTTAAGAGCCATCTGATTAGAGTTATTCAATAAGCCGCTGGAAATAGGGTTGATGAGATCAGTTGTTTGTTCTTCAGGAGACTGATAGACAATGAACTGGGCAGCAGGAGAATTAAAATGGAAGAGTTGGGATTTCTTACTTATGAGTAAGGAATAAAGGACCCATAGTCTAGGATCCCATGATCAGTTATGTGACTTTTGAAATTACCAATTAATTTAAAAGAACATGTTTCTGTTTATACTGTGAACAAGACACTGTGCTATGCACTGGAGGTCTTGAAAGGTTATTTAAACTTTCCACTAATAACAGTTAGGATTTGAGGTGTGTAATAGATGTGGACGGTGTGTGCTTCAGACTCTGTGCAGCTGAGGAAAGTGAGGAATGAGAGGATCCTGCAGAATAATCTGGGGACAAAGAACAATCCTGACCCCTTTATATAATGTGTCTCTCAGATCCTGGCACACGGTAAGGCTTTAGTGAAAGCTGGTTACTTGCCCAAACTTTCGCCCATTTTTCCTTCTACCTTGCCATTGAGTCAGATAAAATAGGAACATAGTAACAGAGAAATTGAGTCTGCAAAGAAGGGGGTCGTGTGTGTGTGTGTGTGTGTGTGTGTGTGTGTGTGTGTGTGTGTGTGTTGGTGGTGGATTTTTTTGTGGCTAGTGAAAAAAAAAAAGAGGTTCAACACAGCTTCGGAATTAAAAGGAGCTTGCTAACTTTGGACTAGGAGTTCTCCAGGTGTGACACCATGAGTGCAGGAATAAAAAGAAAACCGAAGAGGCTATCCCAGATGGACAGTTGGTATGTATGCTATTGGACAGGACAATATGATAGCAGGAAAAGGAAGATCTAGTCACTCTCAAGGACCAGGAAAGTTAGAAAAGGAATGAGTCAGAGGTCTGCGGTAGTTTCCAGTTTTGAGCACAGAGTGTGCACTCAAAAATGTTTGTTCAGCATGACAGAATATGGGATAGAGAAATTGGCAAGGATACTTTAGAAGTGTGGACAGTTCCATGGAGAGGTGAAAACAGGGAATACAGCCATGTTTACCTGGAGCAGAATGGGATCACATGTGGGATGTGAAAATGGAACTCTATAAGGAACCATAGGAAGGGATTGAGGGGGTGAGGACAGGCTGCAAGCATAACAGAAAGCTTTTATAGAGAGAATCAGTTGTGTGGAGTTAAAAAAATTAACTACACACATACATGTGCGCGCGCACACACACACACACACACAGAATTTTAACAAAGGATAGCAGGAATAGAGAAAAGGGCAGTAAATAACCAAGTAACCCAAACCAACATTTGGGCCCCCCAAAGTAATCAAAACAAAGCCCCAATAAAGTAACAGGTAGTATGTTCCAAACTTTGACCTGGTGCCAAGTGAACCACCTATATAGTAACAACCTGATAGTGGGGCATTTTGTGAATGCTAAATACACTGTAAAAATTCCAAGAATAATACTTAAATTTTACTCTTGAGGAGTCAGTTATGTGTTATTCTTGGGATTCTTACAAATGCTGTGTGTCAAAATGAAAATTCCATGGTCAACTTTCCATATCTGCCCCCAGAAAAGTGTTTTGGGGGCTAATTTGCTGAAACCACAAGACTGTATCCCCTGGTAGGTTAATGTATGAGTGGGGAAGTATGGGGGATATTGATTATACTCCTAATTAGCTCTGCTCACTTATTACATATCCAAGCCACTTTGTGTTTATCTTTTAGGCCAGTGGAAGATATTCACCGAAGGAGAAGCTCAGATCAGCCAGATGTGTTCAAGTCGTGTGTGCAGAACAGAGCTTGAAGATTTGGTCAAGGTTTTGTACCTGGAAAGGTCTGAAAAGGGCCACTGTTAGACGAGACAGTATTGGATAGGGTAAAGCAAGAAAACTCAAGCTGCAGCTGGACTGCAGGCTTATTTTGCGTAAGTCAATAGTGCTCTAAAATACAAACTCAAATGCAGTTAATTATTCACGCTATGCACAGCATAACTTGCTCCTTTATGTGGAGTGGTGTGTCACCCCTTAACCATCTTCTCCAAAGAGATTGGAAGAATCTTGAATTATTTGTAGGAAGAAGAGAGATGAAACACCATAACTCTGTTCTAGTTTCTTGGAGAATCACGTTTCTTTACAGGTTAAAGAGTAAACAAAACCCCAGGGTTTCTAGCTAGAAAGTTATTCAATGAAAGAAAGAGAAAGGAATCACTTCTTAGTAGGGGTTCTGTAATACAGATAAAAATATTTGTATGAAATTATGCTCTTTGAATTTTAGAATGTCTTGTGTGTTTTTTAAAAAATTAACCACACACACACACACACACACACACACACACACACACACTCTAAACTACAGCCTTCATTATGAGGCAACACCAGCATAGACTCTCTCCTCCTTTTCTTGAACTGGCTTCCAAGTAGCTTGGCAGTTGTTAGAACCCAGAAGGATAAATAAGGAACTGTGAGCAGAAGGCTATGCCCTTGGGCCTATGGTAAGTTTTATGAAGTCACCAACTATGGTAGCAGTTTGCAAAATAAGAATACCATGTCATGGCTGCATGCACTTCAAAGTGGTAAATAACTTTTCCCTAATGATACCACTTCCCTTTTCTCCCTGAATGTACTGGGCCTTCATGAAGAAGTTGGAATTGGGTACCCTTTTCAGAAACTGAATCCATATAAGATAAGTAATTGTTGAATAAAAGAGTTGACTCCTCTTTGTGTTTTCAAGTCAGTAAAACTCACCAAATAATAGTGCAATACTCACTAATTTTCTTGAGACCATAGTCCTCTAATTCAAAAATGTAGGTGAAATTATTAAATCGTAGAAGCTCCTTGAAAAGGCAGTTTCTATTATCCAATTACAGTTGATTTTTACTTTACTAAGGGTCTCAGTCTTCATGAGCTTCTGAGTGTCAGCTCTTTAGTTAGGAGGATTATTGCTTATTTGGGGAGGTGGTAATTCTAAACAGATCTTTTCCTAAACCTTCCTGCCATTCTAATCTCAGCCATCAAGCATGGATTTGAATCATGAATCCTAGAGAAGGCTGGTCCAAAAATGTCTATTTGCAGCCCAATACAAGAGCATGTTATCCATTCTGAGGCCTGGCTTTAGAAATTATTTTTGTGGGAAAACTATAAATTCTCCATAGCAAGGATGTCAAGCCTGCCTTTTAGATTTATCGCCTCTGAAAAGCATGAATGAATTCTAGTGAGTATTTAAAAATATTAAGGACTCAGAAATCAAATATTTCTTATTATATAATCATAGGTGAAAGCAACATTTTTTCTTAGAATGTTTGACACCAATAGGGACAAATGAAAAAAAGTTCAGTCTGTATGGCAACTTGCACTAGGAGTCTGTTTTCATAAAAGAGCATAAAAGAGCACAAGGCAGGTGTTTCATGGCCAGACCTTCATGGGACAACTTCTCACAGCCCCTTACACACATTCTCCTCAGGAAAGGGAGGTAAGACATCAGGGCTGAAAGGCATGGAGCCTTATTGGAGAGAGGGTGTTAAATTGCTGCTGTCTCCCTCCCAGAGGTGGCAGTATTTCCATAGCGTGGAAAGAAGTAACTGATCCTGAAGCAAAGTGGTGATTTCCCCTCCTTGATGACTCACCCCAAAGCCTTCCCACCCAGGTGTTCTCTGAAAGCTCAACCTTCAGAGAACACCCAGAGAGTTTCCCTAGATAGATTCCTACCCCCAGGTGATAGGACACACCTTTACAAAATGCTGTGTGAAGTAGGAACTAGGGAACTATGCTGGGCCAACATAGAAACCCTCCAGTGTTTGATGTTGTGTAGGGAGTAGGACATAGGAAGAAGAGGCCAAATGCCTGTAGTTAGTAGATAGGAATGGATGTGGTTCTTCTTGTGTATTTATTTGTATTATAAACACTTAGAACAACAAAGACCATAAGTACTATTTAGCAGTTGTAGTCATTTTATAGTTAACTCATGTAAACAATTAAGAGTAACATAACAGTATTATCCTTTAACTCTTCCCACAAGACATGTACCTAAATATGGTACTTATTTATGTAGTCACTGTATTTCTGGATTTTTAAATTAATAAAATGTTAATTTTGAAAAATCATGTGTGATAATGCTGTGTAAGTGATTAACTCTCTGGACAATGCTGATTTTAGACTGGGTAACAGGTGATGGGTAGGTAAGCCAGGCTGTTCTTCGTAATCAGACTACCTGAATTCTTAATCCCAGCTCTGCACTTACCAGCTGTGTTTGTCAATTTCCCCAACTATAAAATTGGGGATAATAGTGGTACCATTCCCTTTTGACTGCAATCTTACAGTGAGGGTTAGTTTAGTTAATGCATGTAAAGTTAATAGAATGGTGTCTGGTGCACAGTGAGCATTCATTTTTGACCATGGATGTTCAAAATGGCATGGCACTGAAAATGGCCATTGATTTCTGGCTTCCCTTTAGGCCAAGACATTTAAGAGACTGGGGACAGAAGGCCATTGACTTGGATTTCAAGAAGGCCTCAATTTTAGGCTGTTCCTCAGTGGTAGATTTGTATAGGGATCAGGGTAAGAGTTTTGTCACATATGTTGATCCAAACTCTATTCCCTCAAACCTCTAATACCAACCAGAAGCCAAGATATAAAAAAGGTGAAATGTCAGATAGCATAAGTACAGTAAAATGTGCATTGGTGTTAGCAACAGAGAAGTCATTAGTGGTGGAACATTGGGGAAGTGTTAGAAGCAGAGGCCAGAAGTGAGTGGGAGAGATGAGAAATTGGAGACAGCAGTTAGAGACAATTCTTTGGAGAAACTTAATTACAGAGACTGGAGAAATGACACTGGGAAAGGATATGAGGCCAAAGGACAGTTTTTTCTCCTCAAAATGAGGGGTATTTGGCCATGTCTTATACTGAAAGGAAGGATCCTATAGAAAGAAAAATATTAAAACTAAGGGAAAAGAGGGTTAACCTGTTGTGTGCAGTGCATGAGAAGCCATTCCCCATGCTAAGCCCTTGAAACTTACAATTGTTGACCACAACCTGGATAGAATTTTGGCCTTTGATTGACAACCCCTTATTGTGAATTAGCTAAACCTAGTTCCCCTCAACTCTGTTAGCTTGGTTCCCCTTTACATCCAACATACTGTCTTCTGGAATGGTAGACTATAAATTCCAATATTACTCCACCTCCGCTAGAGAGCCACATATAACTCAAACTAGACACCTTGACTCCACTGGCACTCTTCCCTTTTACTGATCATTCTTATCCAAATTGCACCAAGCCCTGTAGATTTGCCCTCCTACTGATCAGCACTAGAGTTTGGATCTGCTCCAATTTCCAAACCAGACTGGTTCAACACTCCTTATTTACAAAATAATCAAGAGGATGCAAAGTACAGCATGAAGAATATAGTCAATAATTTTGTAACAACTATGAATGGTGTCATTTGGATACTTGAAATATCGGGGGGATCACTATATAAAGTATGATTGTCTACCACTCTTCTGTGCACCTGAAACTAATACAAAATAATACTGAATATAAACTGTAACTGAAAATTTAAAATGGGTTCAAGAGTAAGTCCTGCTGCTACCACATGTCACCCATCCTTTTATCCCTTTCTTGGTTTGGCCCTCATCTGTGATAGGCACTGCTAGAAAAAATGACCACCCACTGTCTCCATCACCATACATCTCCTGACATTCACCACCACTGCTTCTAGGAAATAATGACCAAAGAACTTACTCTGTGCTAGTCACTGTAGTAAGCTTTAGACATGTATGTTTTCTCAGTTAATGCTAACCACAGCCCTGTATGGTAGGTTCCATTATTGAACCTATTTTAGAGATGAGAATCTTGAAAGCATTCTCTTTTACTTGTCATTATACGTAAAAATATGAAGTATTTGCTCAGCCACAGCCTTCCCAATTAGACTGGAGAGCTCCAACAGGGCTGGGACCCAGTACACAGCACTTCCAGATATTCAATAAATATTTGCCAAGTGAATAGTCAACCTGATAAGATTTTCTCTAGTTGGGGAAGAAAGCAGTCCGGAGATTACTTAAATACCCAGGGTCAGTAAGTCCTTCAGGATATTTTCTCTGTGCCCCACTCTAAGGAAAACTAATAAAATCTGGATTAACAAATCTAAATGAAAAAGTGCTTGTTTGCATTGCAAAACAATTTGCCATAAGGTGTCTTTTAAAATAAATATTGGATTTACACATAGTTTTTGTGGGAGCATTTTTAGTGATTAAATCAAAATGTCCCTGCATTTGTGGCAAGGCCTCACAACTGTGAAGGAGTCTTGCTAAGACCTCAATATTGTGCATGATAAGTAGTATCTATATTTCTACATATGCTATCTATATTATAATGTAATATAGGCTGCTCCTCAGTGGTAGATTTGTATAGGGAGCAGGGTAAGAGTTTTGTCACATATGTTGATCCAAACTCTATTCCCTCAAACCCCTAATACCAACCAGAAGCCAAGATATAAAAAAGGTGAAATGTCAGATAACATAAGGACAGTAAAATATTCATTGGTGTTAGCAACACAGAAGTCATTAGTGGTGGAACATTGGGGCAGTGTAGAATAGCTATGGTATATCTTACAATTCTTTTTATCTATGAGAGAGAGAGAGAGAGAGAGAGAGAGAGAGAGAGAGAGAGAGAGAGAGAGAGAGAGAATAATTAGACTCCAACATGGTGTATATGGTGCCTTCACAAAATGGACAATACAAGAGAATTGGGGCCTGGATTCAAGGCAATGTAGATAAGAGGAGCTCTGAGTTGCTTCTAAGTATAAGCAGTCCCTGATCTAGGAATGAACTATTGGCCAAATATTTAGAATGGAGCATGAATTTTCTTATAGAAACATCATTCTATCTGATGCTCACATTCCCAGGCTGTTATATATAGTGTTAATCAGTACCTTCTTAAACTCGGATCTGGGGGGCAAGAGCAGGGTGTGAGGAGAGAGGAGTGAGCAGTGAGTTTCCTTTCACTTTTCTGGGTGGGGTGAGTGGGAGGGGATCAGGAGCAGGCTCTTGGCAAAACGTCAAAGAAGACAAAGTTTGAACTTGACAGCTTCCTCTCTCCATTTCATCATGCACTCTTCTGGTCCCTAGTACTGTCATTCCACCCTTTACATCCAGTTATTCCAGACCCAGGCCTGCCTTGCTCCACAAAGAACCTCAGACTCTGCCGATAATGACCTCACTCAACAATCAGAAACTGAATCCCTTCAGGGCAGCTGTCTGGGGCTTAGAAGGAAGCAA